GATAAACACGTTTTGATTATTACTTTTATTCTAGTCAATTTCAGTTATTGTTTTATTCTTAAAGTTATGATTTTTACTTACAATAATTGGAGTTGAGTTTTCTTATTGTGTGATATTGCAACTAAGATAGTGTATTGTTAATTCATTAATCATTCTGAATTCAAGTAGTTTAGGAGCTAAGATGATCAGTTGAACCCACATACATTATTCCGAATTTGTAGTATTATATACTCAACATTGTAATAGGTAATTGTAAGACACGTTATCGCCAAACCACTAGTTGTTCCTAATCCAATTAGACATAGGGAGTAAGACAACTAGTTGAAATAACATATTGTGTGCTCAAAATTATTTGTTGCAAGTTAATCAACCTTAATTATGTCTAGGTAATTAAATTGGAATTTAAGGGAAGAAAAATGTGTAAGTCCAACCATCTGAACAATTGAACCGGAAGTATCTTGTTTTTTTCTCATTGATAGTAGTTTGTTTTAGTAGTTCTTGCATTACCAAGTTTTTAGTTTTTTCATCAACTTTTAGTTCAAATAATTTCGTGACAATTGCTAGTAGTAGTTTTTCGTTGACTATTTTAACACAAAGTTTGACCACAAACTCCTCGTGGATTCGACCCTTACTTACCCTAGCTATCTAGTGGTTTTTGAGGTTATTTTTGATTGAGAGAACGACCTCGATCAACCGATCATGGTCCTTTTAGGTTTCCTTCACCAGAGCAACATGATATGATGATTTATCAAGTGAGAGGTTATTATGGCTTATTAATATATTATATGAATAATATATTATAGGAAAAATCATATAGTTTAACTAATATTAGACAAGAATTAATTATGTGACTAAAAGACATTAAGTAAATATCGGGGACTTAAACTGTCAAATGTGTGATAGTTGAGTATTGGGCTGAGAAGGCTTATGGACTAGGCTTGGACGAAATTATGGATGTGTCCATCCTAATTTCGGCCATAGAGGCCCTATTCCAGAAGCTTCCTTGGACTGCTTAAGGCCTAAGCTATCCATTAGGGTTTTGACTGAAACCCTAGCAGCACCAGTATAAATAAGACCCTAGGGCATCCAATTTTCGGCCACTGAAACCATAAGAGTCATCATAGCCGAAATTGTGCCCATTCCCTCTCTCTCGATTAGCATCCTCTTGCTTGTGGTATTTGTAAGCCATTAGAGGAGTGCCATTTGTGACTCTAAGCTCCAAGACAAGAAGATTCAAGCCATTGTAGAAGAGGTAATCATCTAGATCTGATTTCTTATGTTAATTTCGAAATATGTATGCTAGATCTAGGGTTTGTAAGTCTTGGATGAATTGCATGTACAATAGAGAAACCTAGATCCAAGTTTTAGGGTTTGCATGAGCACACCGGATGTTCTTTTGGATCAAACCCATCAATATGCTTTGTATATCTCATCTCATACTCAGTCTCGTATAGTATATATATATATATATATATATATATATATATATATATATATATATATATATATATATATATGAGAAGAGTTATTTGGAAAACAAAAAAACACTAAAAAAACCCTAAAAATCATAAAAATGCATAAAAAAATACCTAGAGATCACAAAACTTTTTTTTGACATTATTTATGAAAAAATCGCAGGTTTTTAAAGAAATTCGCTGAAAAAAATATTTTTTTTTTATAAAAAAAAATTTGATTTTTATTTTTTTTTTCCAGCGAATTTTAATAAAAAACTGCAATTTTTTATAAAAAAATTCAAAAAAAAGTTTTGTGATCTCTAAGTATTTTTTTTATGCATTTTTATGATTTTTAGGGTTTTTTTTATGGTTTTTTGTTTTCCATAGAACCTAAACCATATATATATATATATATATATATATATATATATATATATATATATATTTATCATCTCATGCTCAATCTCATATACTCTATATATCTCATCTCAATTAGGTCTCGTGTACTCTATGTATATCTCATCTCATTTCTCACTCCTGAATGAATATCAATATCATATATCAATCTCATTCCCTAAGGAACATTAACCTCATATATCAATATCATTCCCAAATGAATATCAATCTCATTCCCAAAGGAATATCAATCACATATATCAATCTCATATATCAATCTCATTCCCAAAGGAATATCAATCTCATTCCCGAAGGAATATCAATCTCATATACCAATCTCATCCCCAAAGGATTATCAATCTCATATATCAATCTTATTACTGAAGGAATATAAATCTCATTCCTGAAGGAATATCAATCTCATATATAAATATCATTCCCAAAGGAATATCAATCTCATTCCCGAAGGAATATCAATCTCATTCCCAAAGGAATATCAATCTCATATATCAATCTCATTCCCGAAGGAATATCAATCTCATTCACGAAGGAATATAAATCTCATTTCCAAAGGAATATCAATCTCATATATCAATCTCATTCCGGAAGGATTATCAATCTCATATATCAATCTCATTCCCACAGGAATATTAATCTCATTCCCGGAAGAAATTATGTTCTTCATATGCTATGCTACATGTTATATGTATATCTCATACATATACTCAAATCATATGCATAGATGCTCAAATACGTGTTATCTATGTATAATCATGCTATGTCTTCAACTCGTAATTTGATGGCATTCACTTAGTGCCTCAAGATTCTTATACATACATACATAAGTATAAAATCAAACATATAACAGTCATAAAGAAAGATTGAGAGTGATAACTCACCTTATCAGTCAGTGAACACTAACTGTCCCACCTCGGCTCTTTTGTCAATTTCTTCATCTTGACCCATCTTTGGCTCTTAGGCCTATTCATACACATTCACAATCATTTTAATACTTGTATTAGCCTATTAAGAGCTTAATTACTCTTAAGATAAAAACAACCACTCAATGGGTTAAAACTCTATCTTTCATTCTCTATCTGAAAATTTCATTCAATTGATGAATTAAGCATTTCCCAATAACTAATTCATTATAATCTAACTCCAAAATATCAATTACTCAAAATTATTAGTTAGGGTTTCAACCCCTAACTCTCAATGGGTTGATTTCACCATGGAAATCACTTACAAAGTTTGTTAAAAGTTTATATACACTATCAATAACTTCATAATGGAGTTATAAAATGATTAATTTGAGCAATATAACTAAATTAATGATTCCACCATTGAAGCTCAAAGATTGATAAGAGGAAGAAATCATTACCTTAACAGGGAAAGGATGTTAATCCTTGTAATCCACCATATCTAGTTTCTCTTGACATCATTTTGGTAGCAAAATCGCCTCATCTCAACTCCCAATCGATCCCCCATGAAGAATGAATGAAATGAGCTCTATAAACAGATTATAACATGTTTTATGTATGTTCTCTCACGTCGTCAGTTATGGGGATCAACAAAAGTCCGTTGTTGGTTTCGTTTCAGCTTTGGGCATTTTTATCCCAACTTCAAACACGCATATCTTCTTCGTTTCATATCCGTTTTCGATGAACTTTTTATTCACGTGAAGGTGGAAACATAATCTACATGTTTGTTAAGTCATGTCTAATTGAATTAATACAAATGTTAATCTATTAAGTCATGAAGTTGGCCTAAAAAGCATAAAAATACCAATTTTACCCTTTTGGCCAAAAATGCATTTCTCATGCATTCGTTCTCTAGAACTCACTCATATAACCTATTATAGTGACTTAAACTTGTTTTGACCATCTCCATGAAGTTACAACTTCATATTCCCATCTTTTCCTCATAAACGACCAAATTGCCATTTTTAGTCAATATTTGACTAAAAGTCAATCTTTCTAAAATTTGGGTTGTTACAATATCATTGCTTATATCTACACCAAAACATGTGTAGTCTGGAGAAATATATTGCATACATCTGTCGATACGCTGTCATTGCCCTCCACTAGAAACCAGTACTCAATTTTTTTTTATATACATACTCGTTCCGGAACATATATGGAAAGTATCAAACATACAAAAATATATTAAACACACAAATATATTGTATATACGGAACAAAACCATACAAATACCCTAATTATAGCTCTCCGGAACATCACTCCGGAATGTACGACTATTCCAGACTATAGTTCAGAATACACTTTATCAGTCCGGAACGTACGGGGTGTCAGATTCTGAACCAAAATTCCCACCAACCATCACCAACTCCGGAACAACATCATAAATATTATGGAATATCAAATTCCGTATCCCAAGACCGAAACGAAATCACGTGCTTCGGAATACGATATTTCAGAGGATGTGATCATTTCTAAAAAAAAACTAGAGTAATTATTTTTATTAACAACCACATTTATAAGGGTAGGATTACTCAATTTCGCTTTATTTTATTTTATATTTTATAAATTAATTAAATAAAAAGAATGATGTGGCAAGTGGGTTGAGAATGATAAAATTTTTCATGTGTTGTGAGTTGAGAAAGATGGAAAAGAGAGGAAAGAAAAAAAACTAATGTGGTAATGAATTAATGAGTTGGGACAGAAAGACTCCCTCCTCCCTAAGGACATAAGGAATGGGACACCAAAGCTAGGATGGTACGAGACGCTACACTTACTGAACACCACTCCCTTCCATTGCGCTAAGGGAGCCTCACCAACTGCATAACTAGAGGAGAGAGGAGAGAAAATATTAGACTCTGAGTTTTGATTGACTATTACAATTTTGTTTTTCTTTTCTCTTAAATAACTTTATTATAATAAGACATTACCACTTTCTATTTTTTTTGTGCTACACATGTTAAACTTACGTCACATAAAAAACTAAAAACTTCTAATTGACAACGGGTTACGTGAAGTATCATTTGGATTTGAAACGTTTTGAACACTTGTAGGGCCAAACAAAACTTTTTGTTCAAAAGATAACATTTTATCACTGGATACTCTTAAACACTCCGTGTTCACTAAGTGTAAAAAAATTATTTTAGTCGTTTCATAAATTATAAAACATTAATTAAACCGCGTTAGATTCTAGAGTTTCCTTTCCAACTAAGAAAAATCGAAGACGACTAGATCAGAATTCAGAACCCACACAGTTGCAGTATTATCTGTGTGAAATCAAGCATCCAATTGACCTGGTAATCAGCGTTATCATCCGATCCGTCATCGATTATGGCTGCTCCGGCGTCGTCATCGGCGACAAACATCATGCTCGCTATCTACGAGAAGAAAACCGTCGCGGTCGATCTTTATCGTCCTCTTCGCAACTACATAGTCTTCAATTACTCCGAGCGCGAGGCTCAAAACCTCGAAGATGACCTCGAAACCCTAAAGGAGATGCGCAACAACATCGAGCGTTCATCAGCTGCTGACTCCCTCCCCGCCCGCCGCGATCTTCTTCAGAACTACTTTAAAGCCCTAACCGCCGTCGAATCGAGGTTTCCGATCTCCCCCGACAAGGACCATGTCAACTCCGTGACGTTCACGTGGCACGACGCTTTCAAGAACAAGAACAAGGCGTCGCAACAGAACATTCATTTGGAGAAGGCGGCGATTCTGTTTAATTTGGGTGCGGTGCATAGTCAGATTGGGCTGACTTTTGATAGGTCGACGGTGGAAGGGAGACGGCAGGCTTCACACTCGTTTATTGCTGCGGCGGGTGCTTTTGCGTTTTTGAGGGATAATGCGGCTACTAAGGCGTCTATTGGGAGTTCGACGACTGTGGATGTTTCAGTGGAGTGTGCTGGGATGTTGGAAAGGTTGATGCTGGCTCAAGCGCAGGAATGTGTGTTTGAGAATACCATTGCTAAAGGGAGCACTCCTGGGGTTTGTTCCAAGATTTCCAGACAGGTAGGTGTTGATCATTTTTCGTTCAATTTCTTGTTTAAATTCTATGTAGGTGTGTTGATCTTGTGCAATATAAGCTACTGCGTCAGAATTAAGTAGTTGCATTATGCAAATGGCTGACACAACCCTTATGAACCTTAGAAGCTCAATCCATCTTATAACAGTGCAATTTGTTCAAATATAGGTGGGTCTCTATTATGAAGAAGCCCTAGCTGCACTTAATGTCGCACCTCTTACCCAACATTTTGACAAGACATGGCTGTCCCATGTTCAGCTCAAGGCAGCATTGTTTTATGCAGAAGCTTGTTATAGATACAGTTTAGAGCTCCATGAAAAAGAAGAAATTGCAGAAGAAATCGCACGTATAAAAAGTGGCATCGGTGCTTTAACAGATGCCAAAAAATCATCTCCAAAGGGAGCTGCACAACAAATACTCGATGCAATCAACAAGCTAGAAACCAATCTGAATTGTAACCTAGAAAGAGCCATGAAAGAAAACGACAGAGTCTACCTAATGCGGGTCCCACAAGCCAGTTCTTTACAACCTCTCCCTGCATTCGCAATGGTGAAACCTTTAAACATGAACGAGGTGTTGGATGCCAGCAAGGACAAGATGTTTGCAAGTCTTGTCCCTGACAGCAGTGCAAAGGCTCTTTCAAGGTACACAGAAATGGTGGATGACATCATTAGAACTCAAGCTGAGAAATTACAACAAGGGAGTGAGCTTGCACGTGTGAGTCTGAAAGAAATGAATTTGCCTGATTCGATTCTTGCATTGGAAGGACACTCTGTTTTACCAACTGCTCTTTGGGAAGATGTTGAAGCAGTTCAAATCAGTGGAGGTCCAGCTGGCTTAGAAGGAGAGCTTCAACAGCTTCGTGATTTGAAAAGGGTTAACCATGAGTTACTTGTGCAAACAGAGGAGCTTCTTCAAAAAGAAGCAGTAGAAGATGGACAGTTTAGAACCCAATTTGGGACACGGTGGACTAGGCCTCAATCTGCTACTTTGACCAAAAACTTACAGGATCGGTTGAATAGATTTGCAGGAAATCTAAAGCAGGCTGCAGAAAGTGATGTTAAAATTGAACGCTCAGTCAGAGAGAATATGGCTCTCATGTCTATTCTAGATCGTCGTCCGGTATGTTTTCTTGAAAAAAAAAATTTAATTTTTAATTTTTTACTTTGGTTATATTGATACTTATTTTGTTTATTTGCTAGATTGAATCAGCCCTTCCAACTTTGGCTAAACCAATCATGTCATTGGATGCCAATGAAGATGCTGTAGTGGGGACCCTGAAACAGAGCCTGGTAATACTACTTATATCATTAGTTATACTTACCATAGTTTTTTATTTTTTATTTATATAGTTTTTGTTTTGCAGAGGCAATTGGAGACATTAGGTGCTCAAAGGGCAGGTTTGGAAGACATGTTGAAAGATATGAAGAGAAAGGTGTGTTTAATAATGTTTTTTTTTTTTTAATCTTTACTGGAGTTAGTGTATATAATGTTTTATTTTGGAATTTTGTATGAATTGGATTTAGGATGATATACTCCCGAAGTTGATGACATCCACGGGTTCATATGAAGATCTTTTTAGAAAGGAGATAGCAAAATACAATCAGATATGTGAAGAAATATCTCAAAACCTTCAAGCTCAGGAACAGTTACTGATACATATTCAGGGTCAAAATCGTCAATTTGCAGGCACCTTCAATATCGAGGATTACAAAGGTAATCTATTTTATCTATTCTCTAATAATTCATGGATTTATTATTAATAAAAATAATTTTATGTTTTACTTACAGCTGCTTGTGAGAAATGCTATAAGCATATTGAAGCTGCGGTAGCCAAGTATCGAGAAATCAAAGAGAATATTAATGAAGGGCTAAAGTTTTATGTTACCCTTCAGGTTTGAATTTATTGTTTATTTACAAAAATCATTTTCTGGACATGAATAATTATATTAATTTTTTTTTTGTATAATTTTGAAACAGGATGCAATCACAAGTGTAAAGCAGCAGTGCAGTGACTTTGTGATGACACGAAGCATACAATGCAGGGAAATGATTGAAGATGTACAAAGACAAATGTCAGGTCTTAGTTTTCAAGATGGAAAAAATTCAGGTAATAATAATAATAATAATAACAATAATAATTACAATTACCCTTCCGCTGCACCACCACAAAGGACGTCTTCCCATCCGGAATCCGGCCCTCAGCCACCTTATTACCACCACCACCAGCAGCAACCGCCACAACCACCACCAGCAGTATATTCTCAGGCTCAGCACCACCCTCCACCACCGCAACAACAGCCTCCTTATGGTGTTCCACAACAGCAGCCGCCGCCGCCTTACCATGGTGGATCGCCGTATCCGCCACCTCAGCAGGGCGGCCAACAGCCGCCAGCTGGCGGCTACGAATACGGTCAACCTGCTTACCCTGGTTGGCGGGGCCCGTATTACAATGCACAGCAGGCCCAGCAGCAACCGGGGTCGTTTCCAAGGCCACCTTATACGGTTTCCAATCCTTACCCTCCTAATCAAAGTGGCTACTATAAACAATGATTTTTTTTTTTTTTTTTTTTTTTTTTTTTTTTTTTTGTGAATGGTTTTTGTGGTATTTGTTTAATAATATTGGTTGACTCGATTTACGTAGCCTCATATTGCAGTTTGCTTTACAGATTTATATGTAAAGAAGTTGCATACTAAGTAGACAATTGAGTTGGTGTGTACAAATTTATAGGCATCATGAATTAAATGCTATTGTTGTGCTTAGTTTTATATGTTAATGATCTGTTTTTCCAATGCTATTCTCATTACGTTATGTTGTGTTTCAGTGCTGCCATTCTTGCTTATAATCTTGTGATAAGAAGTCTCCTTTTGATTGATGTTATTATACTTTCAGGGTTGCCTAGCATCTAAGATTTGTAGAATTATCTTAAGATTGTATAAGGATCTGATCCCATTTTTCTAAAAGTGTAAATTCTAATGACACATAATCTTAAAAGTGTAAATTCTAGAAAATTAATCCACGCTTTAGTTTAATAATCTAACTTATAGACTTAATTTTTTTTTTACCTTTCACTTAAATCCAGCCTCAATATTCGTCAATTGAGCTTGAAAACAGAACATCGTATATTGCATGAAACCACATATACGGTACCCATGGTTTTTTGATTGTTGATATATCGAAGTTTTTTTTTTTTTTTAATAATATTCTTCCCTTTTTTCTGATGTATGTCATGTTTTGTTTTCATTACATGTGGTAAACGAGCTGAATTTGAACACAATTAGATTGTATTCGGTATAAAACTTTATACTGATAGAATGATATTGATTTTAAAAGGGCTTTCATTGGTCTTTTCATTTGAGATAATATATCAAAGGTTGTTAAAATTGAGATTCTATATATGATTGTTTTCGTATGTAGAGGATCGTGATCGTAAAATTAGACCCGTATCCTAAGGTCCTACAAAAATGACAAATTATAAGTTTAACATATGGAAAATACATCTTCATCCATCAATTGACCATTCATAAGTTTTAAAAACTTCAAGAATTAGCGATAACATATAGTCACATACTATCCAATGTATTCTAACATAACAAAAGTGTGATATGTTGCAACAACATTAGTGTTGCTAAAAAACTCTTAATGATAATACATGTGTGTGTAAATATACCGTGCATATTTTTATGTCCAATCATTGGTGGTTTTCACCTTTTATAATTTACTCTTTTTTCAATTAAATATAAATAATCGTACAATCACATTTATCTAATCATAAAGCCGATTTGCTAAGTAAATGCACCAAATGACTAAAATGAATAAAACATTAATAGTTAACCATGGATGTGAAATGTTTCAGAAATACAGGGGCCTAAGATGAAAATATTTAGTTTTATAACCTCTGATGGCGGGAAAAGCAGAGAGAATCACGGGAATTGTAATATTGAAAACAAAGAACGAAATTGTTTGTAGCTTCTCACCCACCCAAAGCATTAAGCATATAGGAAGGAAGCTAATTGGCAATGGGGAACGCCGGCGACGCGGACCTTGCTGCGCTCATCATACCTAGCACGGGCTCTCAGGAGGAGGAGTTACAGTCTTGCCATTTCACACGCGAATCAGAGGTGTTTTCAGGCGACATGCAGTTGTCTTCATCACCGGACGAGGCGTCGGAACAGGCCACTGGAATAATAATGGTATCTATGCCGGAAAGCTCTGATGATTACCAAACTCCTCCAGAACACCACCTTTCATCTCAGAACTCCAGCAACGACGGTCAGGTGACTGCAGTTGTTGACCTGGAAACTGGAAGTGGTGGAGTTGAAAACAGCGAGACGATGGTGTTGGATGATAGTTGTGAGCGGATGATTGATTTAACCACCGATTCGGATAATCTAGAGTTTTTGGAAAATAGGCATAGGGTTAGGGTTAGGGTTCTCGAAGTCGAAGATCACAATACAGTGATGGTTGATGGGAACAATACTAATACTGAAGAGATGGAAACGCAATATGCGGTTGGGGAAATTAATTCTGAAAGTTGTGTTGCAGAAGCTCTTAAGATGCTGAAGGAGACTGTACCTAAAGTGTTTGTAGAAATGCCCGTGAGAGAACAAGAGACAGAAAGCAAAACGAGCTTAAACTTGGACTGCAAAGGAGAGCGACAATTGCCATTTTCAATGAAAGGGAAAGAGAAAATTAATATAGAAAAGCATGAAGACGTATTTACAGATACCTTGAATCGTGCTTGGAAGATACTGGTGGGGCCGCAGGGAAAATGTGATGCTGAGGCTGATGGGGATGATGACCTTCTGGAGACTGCAATGCGGAGGGGCTTGACTTTACCTCGTCCCAGGTGGTGGCCACCAGAAGAAGAAGAAGAAGGTGGTTTTGAAGGTTAAAACTGAAACATACATACATACATGCATTTCAAAAGATGTTATGGTAACATGAACATACATTATTTTTTGTTTCTGATGGCTGAGTGAGGCTTGATGATAGGTTTGTATATCAATTAGATTAACTCTTTTGTTATCGAATACAAGTTTGCACATCTATGCTAGCTGTAGTTCTTGAAGGATAATTGCTGATTGCTCATACATATTGGATATGGACCTTTTGAGTAAGATTAGAATGGTCTTCTACCTAACCTACATAACATACATTATACTTTTAATTATTTCAATATTAGGTCATTATACTTTAAATTGTAAAAGTGAAGTATGCTACAATAAACAAATGAATGAAAATGTGTTGCTATTTTTTGCATCAAACCACACAAAAGCGACTCACGTTTCTTTCTCCCTAAGGAATTTGTATGATTTGAGCATATAAAAAGAGCCAAGGAGTTGGTGAAGCAAAGGAGATTAATGAAGATCCAAACTCAAAAGGTACTTCTGAATTCGTTTACTGAATCTACTACACTAAATCACTAATGCTCTACCAAGAACATGTTCAATTCTTTTCCTGAGGATCCTGTAACTATATATATATATATATATATATATATATATATATATATATATATATATATATATATATATATATATTTTTCCATATAATTATGAATACAGAACACAGAAACCATGTTTTAAACTTCTAATAAAGACGCCATTTATCTTCCATATTTTACAATTGGGTTTGTTTTTTCCTACAGTATAGCATCCTACTTTTGATTTTCCTATTACAACTTAGTACTTCCAAAAATATTCCCAATTATAGCAATTTTATCCCAATAAAATCATTTGAGTAAAATATTTAAAGTATGATGGCCTAATTATAGGAAAAATATTGAAAGCGCTCTGCTATAATTAGTAGATTTTTTTCGACAGAAAGAACAAACAATCATTTTTCACTTACGATCCATTTTAAACATAAGAGTAAAATGGTCATTTATTTTCATCATTTAAACTGTTCATTTAGCCCAAGAAAGAAACAACATTTTTGTTTAATTACTATTCCAAATCACTACTTTTTCTTCATCAACTGAAATATAACTACTTACTACTTATAAAATAATTAAAAACGTTGACCTTGTAGTTGAGGAAAATGGTAGGTGAGCCCATTAACTTTTTAAAGCCTTTAAGAGCATATGGTATGGACAACTTGAAGTGGTGCTATAACAAGAAGCAACAAGATGAGGGGGTGATGTTCATGGTGTTATAACACCATGTTAAGAGGAGAGAGATAGAGAGAGATAATTTGGCAGCCAATAGGTGATCACGTTTCTTCTTGTCATGGAGACAACAAGAAGCACCACAACAAGATGCAACAAGGAGGGGGGGGGGGGGTGTTTTTGATGTTATAACGGCGTTATGGGCTGCCAACTCAGCCACAATAAGAAGCAACACGACCCACACCGTATGCTCTAACTTAAAATGGGTAAAAAAGTAAAACAACATCTTAAACTGTTTGAAAAGACTCAAATTATTGTTATGATAGACCGATTTATATTTTACCGGAATATGTTTCGTATACTAATAAAAATATATAATTTGACAACAGACTTAATATTCTATAAAGTTACTATCATCATATACTAATTTATAAATGTTATAATCAAGCATATCGATCAAAATTCTACATTTGTTAGTTGTTACGTTACTGGTTATTAGACAGCACTTTGGTTGACTACTACTTTACTACTTTACTTTGACAAGTATAGTCAAAGACCATATACACTCTAGAAGAAACGCCGTTCACATTTACACCTACTTTTCTAAAATTAAAAATCCCACTCAGCATTGTCTTGTTGCTATCAAATGCTAAAGATAGCAACCTACATAAAAAAAGTATATATAATTAAAATGAATGAAGATAAACAAAAAAGTTATATTACTGTAATCATTGAAAAAACCAAATAAAATCAATGTCACGTCATCATTTTCAGGTATTAAGGTCGCAATATTACTGTAATTACAAAAGCATATAAGTTATGTTGCTACGATTATAAAAAAAATACGTTCCAATAAACAAGTAAAACGATATTTTTTTTTAGTAAAAACAAATAAATAGTAGCTAGTGATATTCAAATCGCTTTCCTTGATGAGTCGGTCTTTCCGTACCTTCTACACGTCTTGTATGTGTGAAACGGGCCATGCTACCAAGTCAAGAGCGTATTAAACTCTAAACGGCACGATTTATCCTTTTAAAATTTTGAAAACTTTACTTTAATCATTATATTGGAATTTTCATATAAACCTCCATTATAAATGATAAATTTAAAAACCACGAACTAAAACACATGCAAGAATAAACGAATTAATTTGCTCAAAATTTAATGGTTGTGTTGTAGCAAATTACATCATATAATATTTAGAAACTAGAACTCTTCTTTCAAACATTTTGTTTTTATTTTGCAATACTGTATAAATGCATTAGTTAATTAGTTTGCAACGAAATTACAAATATGCATGGTGATTGAAAAACTCCTTCCCTTACCTGTTTACTATATATAGCTCAACTCCTCAAATTCCATTTTGTAGTTTTTTTTAATAAACTAAACTAGAAGTTAAATAGTTTTGTAATGAACTAATGATGATGGATGCATAATATATAA